AGACATTTAATCCTTACTACATGTAGCTGTATATAGTCCACCTTATATTACATGAGTATCATGTGTAAGATTCTGTTCTGTTAACAAGACATTTAATCCTTACTACATGTAGCTGTATATAGTCTACCTTACATGAGTATCATGTGTAAGATTCTGTTCTGTTAACGAGACATTTAATCCTTACTACATGTAGCTGTATATAGTCCACCTTAAATAAGCATCATGACGTGTAAGATTCTGTCCTGTCATGGTCTATTGCTTCCTTACCAATATCATGCTCCTTGAGCTGTTCATCGGTGTGAGGCARGTAGCTAACAATCAACTGTCTCAATACTCTCTGGTCAGCCTGTACACCAATTAGGGTACTAGAGAAGTATGATGGCGGGTTCAGGTCTTCTATCACAGTACACATCAGCCAGAAAGCATCTTCTTCTTCAACAAATAACAATAATGAAGCCACGATCTGAAAACAGAGCAGTAATCACTGTGTTAGTTGATTAACTGGCACAACCCCCTGACAGTGACAAATAATTGTACCATCCCCATCCCTGACAGTAATTAATAGACCTACTATACCCCCACAGACAGTAACCAAAAGACTTACTATCCCCACCCCCTGACATTAACAAAAGGACTATCCCCACCCCAGACAGTAACCAATACTTACCATCCCCACCCTAGACAGTAACCAACAGACTTACCATCCCCATCCCTTGACAGTAACCAACAGACTTACCATCCCCATCCCTTGATAGTAACCAATAGACATACCAACTCCTCCCCCCCAGACAATAACCAACAGACTTACCATCCCCATCCCTTGACAGTAACCAATATCTGGATAAAGCCAGGCTAGTCCTCTCAGGATTCTCCTTAACCTCAACAGTCCAATACTTGTTTGCTTGTAGAAGCAAGCATTGTTGGGCAATGTACGCTGAAGGTCCTAAGATTAGCAATACAAGTTGATTAGGCATCACAATGTGTCATGAATATGACAGGTGCCGAGGGTTTCCATGGTTACCCTCCTTAAACTACACCAACAAAGCAGTATTACTGTACCTTTTCAATCTGTTTAGCAGTGAGTGAGTTTTCATCAGAGCTGGCTCTGGCAACTTGTTTGTATGTAAATTCTGCATTGATTTTCTTCTGCAATGCTCCTGATATTCTCATCCACATCTAAAAAAAAAAAGAATAAAATATTATGACCTAAGGTTCTGACAGCAAAGTTTAACATATCAAATTATAAATAAATAAAAACACAATAAAAATCAATCACCCAGGAGAGGTTTGTCAATTGACCTCCTCGGCTTGGGCGTAATGTTTTCCCATTTCAGACCATGTGTCATTCCCTTGAGAATCAAATTCTTTGTTAGATTTGTATCCATATTCATGTGTCTTCTCGTGTGCAACCGAGCGCAACTGTCAAACAATGAAAGGATACTCTAGGGAATGGCACGTGGTCTGAAATGGGACAACATTACGCCCGAGCCAAGGAAGTCTATTGGATACAGAATCATCCTCATTTGCATCATTTGCAACTTTAACAAGGATTTTATCAAACTCACTTCAATTTCAATAATTGCATCAGAATATGACAGTATACCCCTATACATTTGATATGCAATATACAATGTTTGCATCTGACCTGTATAGCCTTTACATCGGCTCCCCTCCTGAAGATTATTTCAAATGCCCATCCATATCAGCCACTCATTAAATGTAGATTGTACACTTTTGAATTCATAGATTAAAAYATTAATGTAAACCAACTCAGGCCATAATCTAGATTCTGTACTTACTGGTGCTCGCATGCTGTGTGGTATACCAGAGAACACTAGCTCTCTAAGCTTCTCAGATCGAGGAAAAGTT